TTGAGAAGCTGTCCGCAGCCTCTGCAGCACGGGTTTGACTCTCGGCCGGCCAGGGAGATTCCCACATGACGCGCAGACCTCTCATGTCTCGCCTGCTGCTCTCCTCAGAATGTTTTTGGTCTGTTCTGCTCCCTGCTCTGTCTCTGGTGAATTCTCTCACCCTCGCATGCCTCTAGCCTGTACCCCAGTTCTTGTAAAAATAAATAAATCTTTAAAAAAAAAAAGGGCCTCCCCGGTGGCGCTGCGGTTGAGCGCTGGGTTGCGAAGCTGCCCGTGGCCTCTGAGGCGCCGGTTCGTTCCCCGGCTGCTCCCCGGCCACCGGAGGAGGGTCCCACATGGCGCGCAGACCTCTCCTGCCGCCCACTGCTCCCCTCAGCAGTGTCCTTCGGTCCTTCTGCCTGCTCTGCTCCCCGCTCTGGCTCTGGTGAATTCTCACACCCTCCCGCGCTTCTGACTGTACCCAGTGCTTGTGTAAAAACAAACAAACAAACAAACAAATAAACATGCCTCTATTAAAAAAAAAAAAAATTAAAGTTAAAAAAAAAAAAAATTAAAGTTAAAAAAAAAGAGGGGGCCTCCAGGTGGCGCAAGGGGTTAAACACCCCACTATGAAGCAATCTACAGCCTCTGCAGCACAAGTTCGATCCCCGGCTGGCCAGGGAGCAACCCACATGGCACAGCAGACCTCTCCTGTCTCGCCCGCTGCTCCCCTCAACAGTGTATTTCGTCAGTCTGCCTGTTCTGCTCCCCACTCTGTCTCTGGTGAATCCTCTTACCCCACCCGGCACCTCTGGCCTGTACCCCAGTTCTTGTATGCATAAATGAATAAAAATAAATCTAAAATGTATGAAGTCTACTCTACACACTGCAAGAAGTAAAGGAAAGGCCCGAGAATAATGAAATAAGTTTGAGAAAAAAAAACAACAAAACTGCCACGTTGCCTAGCAGAGACCAATGTGTTTTCTCAAGTTCCCGCGGTGCGGAGGCGGTGTTACTGGCACAGGACAGGGCGAGATGAGACAGGGCCTGAGTGCAAGGAACAGTGAAGGCCGTGCTGGGTGCAGGTGAGCAGGGGAGGCGTGAGGGCGCAGGGAACCCTGCGCTTGCTGAGCGGCCAATCCGGCCATTGGGACACTGGAGAAGGCAGAACCCGACTTGACACTCAAAAGAACGACACGCGGGGCTGGCTGTGCTTAGTCCGTGACCTAAACACAAGGAGAACGAAGAGAAACATGAGGTGGACGTGGACCCGAGGGCAGACGTCCCTGAGGTGGAGGCGGCGTGCTTCTCAAATAACTGCGGAGAAAGCAAAGGCCTGAAGGGAAGAGACTAATAGGTTTGGTGATTTTTACAGTGAAAAACCTCCTGCAGGCCCACACACTCCAGAGACAGGCAAATGTCTGACCCCGGACCCCAAACCTCTCCCTACCGGTTCCCCCCAATCCCACCGCAGGTTTGAAAATGTTTAGTTTCAGATTTGCAAGTGCTGCAAGCTCTGCTGCCCCTCCCAGCGCCTTTGGGGGGGCATTTTCATATTAGCTATAAATATTTTTAATGCATTCAATTCTTTCAGCTTTTGGTATCTCCCCGGCTCATGCCAGCCTGAGAGGCTCGTGCAGAAGACTCGCTGTGGAAAGAGGAAAGAAGCCACGGCGCCCGCCTGAGCCCCCAAGGGGGATGGGAAGCGAGCCTGACGCGGCCAAAGGGGGCCGGTAAGGAGCCTGCCAAAGGCGCCCCTAACTGCACACAGGATTCCTTTTAAGGAGGGGGCTTTGGTTTCTTTGGAACAGTTGAACTTTTATGAAGAGAACGTGCAGTCTATAAAAAGTAAATATCAAGGCTCAGGGAAGGTGCGGAGCAGAGTCCATGGTGCCTCCAGGGTGTTTATCAGCCCTTACCTGGTGGAGGCACCTCTGGGTAGCCTGGCCTGGGCACCGCCACTCCAGGGCTGAGGGGAGCCCCAAAGCCGGGGTCCCCCAGTCCAAGCAAGGCCTCCTCTTCCATTTGCCATCTTCCTCCAGGACATCCCACATTGGCACCGGGAGGGTCCCCTGATGGAGGAGTCCATGAGATGAAGAATGTCAACGATCCGGCGTGGGAATGAGCTTAGTGACATCAGGCATCAGCGTCCATGCATTCTTTCCCCTTCTCAGGTGACCAGTCAGAACAGCAAAAGCCTGCCAGAGGCCAGATGGGTGGGGGGGAGGGCCTTGGTATCTGCCCATCCCTGCTTCTGCTGTAGCCTCGCCGTAGGCCCCAGAACAGACCAACATTTCCTGTCTGGATGCTAAACCTCGCAGCTGTACTATTTACAATAGCTAAGCTTTGGAAACAACCCAAAAGCCCAAAAACAGATGACTAGATCAAGAAGATGTGGTACATATACACCATGGAATATTACTCAGCATTCAAAAAAGATAAACACATGCAATTTGCAGCAACATGGATGGAGCGGGAAGGGATCATGCTCAGCGAAATAAGCCAGAAAGAAAAAGAAAAATACCAGATGGTCTCACTCATAGCAGGAATCTAGAAAACTTAAATAAGGGACCAGGAAAAAGAATAACTGTAAGAGAGCCTCCCCTGGTGGTGCAGCGGTTGAGTGCTGGGCTGCAAAGCTGCCCACAACCTCTGCAGCACCGGTTCGATCCTCGGCCACCGGCGAGTGTCCCACATGGCGCGCAGACCTCTCCTGACTCGCCCGCTGCTCCCCTCAGCAGTGTACTTCGTCAGTCTGCCTGTTCTGTTCCCCGCTCTGGCTCTGGTGAATTCCTCTCACCCTCCCGCGCTTCTGACTATACCCAGTGCTTGTATAAATAAATAAATAAATCTAAAAAAAATTAAAAAAAAAAAAGAATAACTATAAGAAAATATCAAAATCAACAAACAACTATGAACCAGAGACACTCTATGGGATGTGGGGGGCGGGGAAAGAAGGGCTTGGGGTCAAAATAAGGGGGTTGTAATTGTATGGGGAATATAAAAATAAAATTTAAATAAATTGTGAAAAAAAAAATATCGCAGCTGTGATTTCCTACATCCTGTCGCTCAGAAAACCCTACCTTTGAAATTTTAATGTGCCCAGAATCCCTCCCCCTCTAGCCTGGCCGGTCATGTGGGTCAGCTCCCTGGCCAGGGATCGAACTCGTGCTGCAATGGCTGCCGATAGCTTCACAGTGCTGTGTCTTAACTCTTTCTGCCACCAAGGAGGCCCTTATGTTTATAATACTTATGAGGTATATATGATACATATGTATGTAGGTTTCTCTTCATTATGGAATAAATAAGACGTACTGTGTAGTCTGAAGAATATTTAGTGAAACTTTCAATCCATTGTTTATATACAGTGAGCCTCCCTGGGTGGCCTAGGGGTTATGTCTCAGCGTTATCACGGCTGCAGCCTGAATTCAATCTCTGGCCAGGGAGCTACCCACATGGCGCAGCAGGCCTCTCCTGTCTCCCTGCTGCTCCCCTCAGCAGTGTATTTCAGTTGATCCACCTGTTCTGCTCCCCACTCTGTCTCTAGTGAATCCTCTCACCACCCCCCACACCTCTGGCCTACGCCCCAGTTCTTCTAGGCAAAAATAAATAAAATCTTTATACACACACACACACACACACACACACACAAGACTGAGAGAATACACTGCAACGTTACATTTTATGGCAAAAATACTGCACAAATATATATGCTATACTGCACAAATTATGCGATATCTATATAGGTAGTGGGAGCTGTGAATTATATAAATATGACTAAGGCGGGTTATATAAACTATGCTTTTTATTGTGGCTTCCTGCCATACAGGGAAATGGAGGCTGAGCTCAGGGTGCGGTAGGTTATGGGGGCGTCTCCAGGAATGGCTCCCGTGGGTGAGAGGAAGGAAGCAGGACCAGGCTGGGAGGAGCTGAAGTGAGATGCAGCAGCAAAGGTCAGGTCAGGGTAGGGGAGCACACAACCTCCAGAGGGACCAGTTTTTGTTCTCCACATCCCTCTCCCCCGCTCATGCTGTTCCAGGGCTACAGAGTGAAGTTGGGCATCTCTGAAAGCCGTGCTATGTAGTGCCAATGTCAGTGCCAAAGCAGCCACAGAAAACACATAAGCGGGGCCTCCCTGGTTACGCAAGGGGTTAAGTCTCAGCACTATGAAGCTGTCCGCAGCCACTGCAGCACGAGTTCGATCCCCGGCCAGGGAGCTACCCACATGGCACAGCAGACCTCTCCTGACTCCCCCGCTGCTCCCCTCAGCAGTGTATTTCAGTGGATCCACCTGTTCTGCTCCCCACTCTGTCTCTGGTGAGTCCACTCACGCCCCTGCACCTAGTTTTTGTACACATCAAAAAATAAAAATAAATGTTAAAAAAAAAACCAAAAAACACATAAGCAGACGAGCGCACTGTATTCCAGTAAATCTTCATTTCCAGAGTCAGGTGGCGGGCAGCTGGATTTGGCCCTGAAGCCCCAGCTCCATTCAGACAGTAGAACCCCAGGCGGAGCCCACTGCCCTTCCTCGCTCCCTGGCGGCAGCCTCTAGGTGGCCTGGACCCCCCTCCTTCCCATTACCTGACCTTAGCCAGCCAGCAAGGCCTGCTCCCGGAGCCCGCCTGCACCCGGACGCCAGCTCCACAAAGGCCGTCTTCTGGGCGGGTGGGCCCGGTGCGCAGACAGCAGACCACGCTCTTTCCTTTGGTCAGTGTCCTCTCCCTTTGTCCACGGGGCCGGGGGAGCCCGGCCTGGCCATTCAGCATCCAGGGGGGCAGCACATGGCCCTGTGGGTGCTCTCGGCATCCTGGCCCTCTCCAGGCAAGGGCCTGCCCAACTGGGGAACTGATGGTCAGAGAAACCGGGGTGAATGGCGCAACTGGTCTCAAGAGACAGACTTGTCTGCACTTTTTTTGGAGACTTGCTCTTACGGACACGGCCAGGGTGGGATGTCCGTCGACAGCAAGAAAAGCCCCTTCTCCGCTCCTGTAGGAACGACCCCATGACAAGCCAGGGACTTCATCCAGGTCCATGTTTCCTTGCCCCTGAGCTGCTCGTCGGCCCTTAAGTTGGCTCCTCTGTTCTTAAGCCTGGTCCCCCAGACCCACATGACCTCATTACCTTCCTTAATCGTGGAGGCAGATTTAACTTGATCTCCTGCTTTCTTGCCCAGAGGCTCACAAGTAAAGCTGGTGTCTCTTCTGGAATGCCCGAAGTGGGCATCTGCGCGATGCAGGGCACCCCACTGCTGTTGGGTCCCCGAGGCCCCTGGCAGAGCCCGGGAGCACTGTCTGAGGTTTCCAGAGTGTGAATGGGGTTCTGTCCTTGGCACAGTGAAAGGCCGGAGATTCTCAGGAGGGGAGCTGCTTCCAGCCCAGCCTCTCCCCAAACCACCCCTCACAGGCAGGTGACTTGGGGAATGTGAATTGTTTGTCCTTCTGTCCCTGCCCCACCCCTCTCCTTCCCACTAGACCAGAGGCCCCGTGAGGGCAGGGCGGGGCTGTCTTGGCCACTACTGTGACCCTAACATGGCACAGGGCAGGGCAGAGAGTGGGCACCACTGGCTCTTGAGTGAAAGAATAAATGAAGGTCATTTCTTCCAAGGGTCCCAGGAATTTCTTAAATACGCGGGGGCGGAAATCACAGCAACTTGAAGACAACCGACCTGAATTACAAATTTATTCAAGCCCTCTCCCCAAGTCGCAAATGTGCACAGGGTTTTAGCCTGTAAGACACTAGGACTGTGAAGCGTCTTTGGGTCTCTCCCGTCCCACACCCCCCGATCCCGCCCACGCAGCGGTGAAGCAGGGACTGGCCGCGGGTCAGGACACGGCAGGGCTGAGGTCCGAGTCTGGGAGGCTCGAGGGCAGCGTCGGGTCAGGGTCGGGATGGCACCGGGTCAGGAGCCCGCGCTCGGGCCCGTCCCACGGTCCATGTTCACACCCCACCTCAGCCTCCGCTGTGTGCCCTGGAGCAGGCGACTGACCTCTCTGCGCCTCGGTTTCCTCAGCAATGAACCCCAGCAAATGCTCTGGGATTACGTAGAGCACTTATAACAGTGCCCAGCACCTAACTAGAGCTCAACAAACTCGCTCTGCTACAAGAACTGCTAACGATTGACGTGATGGGGCCCTGGCCGCCAGCTACCTGTGCTCCAGAGAAACCTGTCAGTGCCACAGTGGGTGCCCAGCCAGCAACCCAGGGGCAGGGAGGCCGGCTTCCCCTCACGCAGAGGTCTCTGTGTCTTTTGCCTTCTACCCCTCGAAACTGAGTCCACTCAGGTCACCTCCAATTTTAAAGACACCCCCACCCAGGGCCCACCTCCTCAGCGCCCTTTGCCAGCTTCCCCCCCTCTTCTAGAAGGAACTGAGATGCCGTTTCAGAGCCCAGTTTCCTCATTTTCCATTTGGGCAGGCCTTGGGATGCTGAGGGGCGGGGGGTGAGAGGAGCTGGGAGCAGCGAGAGAAGCCGGGCGCTCCCACTTCACCTGCTGACTCCCGGAGGGGCCCAGGTGCAGTGAATCACTAAGTGCTAACCCCTTGGGTATGATCTGGGCAGCTGTCATGGGAGTGAGCCTCCCCCTACCCCCACTGCGCCCCCTTAGCTTGCCCCTGGGATGCTTTGGCCTCCGTGGGGACAGCCCTCCATGTGAGTCTCCCTCTCACCGGCTTCCTCCTCACCCAGCCCCTGGGCAGTTCCCGCTCCCCGCCCGCGCCCTACTACTTCACCACCTGGAGAGTCCCTCACTGGACTTGCCCTGGGCAAGTCCCTTGGCTTCTCCTGGGCCTCAGTTTCCCCATCTGGGAAAGAACTAGGGGTGGGGAGACGTAGTGGTTGAATGGTACTCCCTCCCCACAAAAAATCCAAAACTAGGTCAGCCCACATCCTAAGCCCTGGGACCAGCGAGGAGTTTATTTGGAAAAAGGGTCTTTGCAGATGTAATGAAGGTGAGGACTCCTAACTGAAGCCATCCCAGACTTAGGGAGGTCCTAATTCAGGGATTAGGATTTAGGACTTTGATTAGGATTAAAGATTCTGTGTCTTTCTAAGAGACGGAAGAGAAGGCCATGAGAAGACCCCGAAGAGACTCAGTCAAACAAGTGAAGGGCCCCTGGGCACCCCCAGAAACTGAAAGAGGGCAGGAGGGCTCTCCCTGTTCCAAGGCCCTGTGGACACCTTGATTTTGGATCTCTGGCCTCCAGAACAGAGAGAATAAATCCCTGTGTTCTAAGCCACCAAGTCTGCGGTGACTGTGATGGCGGCCTAGGAAACTACCGAAGGAAGCAGACCACTGAGCGGCCTTGACCAGCGGGAGGGAGGCAGGTCTTGGGACAACGGAGCCGAAAGGGTACCACTGCGTGAAGGGGGGCTGTGCATCCACCGAGAGCCCTGAGGGGCACAAGAGCACAGAGATGGCTAGATTTGGAACACGGGGTCGTGCTCCCCTGGCCGTGGCAGTGTCCCCCTAGACAGGCCACTGAAGGAGACAGCGGGGTGGGTGGGAACGGGTACAACAGGCCCAGGGGTGCTGGGGACCGACGCAGGGCCGAGGCTGGAAGACAGCTGGGGGAGTCCTCCCTAGGCAGGTTCAATTTGTCCACCACAGAAGGGGGCGGGGAGAGCAACACCCCAGAAGACCCTGCACAGCAATTCCGGCAGGCGGCACCACAGACAGGCTGAGGGGTGCTGCTGCGTACCCCGCTTAAGGAAGGTACCACAGATCCAGTTAAGGGGAAAGATATACAGGCCAGGGTCCCTTCTTCCTCCCTCAAAAAGCAACATCCCCTGTCGAGCCACCTGAGGGGGGGCCAGAAGTCCACCGAAGGGCCTTGTACCCGACGAGAAAGGAAGGGGGATCTGAGGGTCGAGTGTTCCAGGGAAAGGTAACACTGATCAAGTAAGGGGGGCTCGGCAGGCGGATTCGGCTCAAGTCAGGCTCTCTTGCTTTCTGTCAGAAGACAGCTGTGTTGTCCTGCCCGCTGGGGTCTGCGTGGCTTGGGGTGAGGGGTGGAGAGATGAGCTCTGTGGACTGCACCCACCGGCGAGGGGCTGGGAGCTGGGCTGGCAAGCTCCCCCTGCTGGGGCTGGTCCGGGCCCGCGGGCCGCAGAGGTGACAGGAAGCCAGTGCCATCGAGGTCCCAGTGGTTTCCGCGAGGCCAGCACCAGCAGGGGTGGTGTGGGGAGAAGGCCACGCTGGCTCACAGGGCCACGTCCGAGTTCAGGCTCCGGTGCCTCCTATTTCTTGGCTGCAGACGCCGCCTGGGACGCCCCGGATGCATCCTGGCCGCTGATCCGGGCACGCACCTCCCGCATCTGTGCCTGCAGCTCCTCCAGGGCGCCCCTCGGTGTGGCCTGCACCTGCACCTGCAGCGCCTCCACCGCCTGCGCCAGGCGGCCCACCTCGTCCTGCAAGGCGTCCCAGGCGGCACGCTGCTCCTCCTCCTTGTTGCGCTGCTGCACCTGGTGGCGCCAGTACTCCAGCACCAGGCAGCCGCCGCCCACCACGAAGATGGTGGCCTCGCCCAGCAGCTCGGCGCCCAGGTCCGCGGCTGCGGCCTCGTTCAGCGGCTTGATGGCTGTGCCCCGGAAGCCCATGATGCGCATCTTGGTCCGCATCTCCACCCAGTGGTACACTGCAGGGGAAGAGAGGGGTCAGCTGGTGTCTGGGATCCCTGCCCGCCCGCCATCTGCAGCAAGCTGCCCAGATCAGAGAGGAATGGCCCAGCCTTGGGTGACCCCGAGGTCACTTTTAATATCATCCAGAAGATTCTGGAATGCACCCAGATAAGAGAAACCCAGCCTTGCAAGGCAGGTCCTCAGATAGGTGTGTGGGGGTGTCCTGGGGAGGTCACAAGTTGCTCCTGGTGTGGACATCCAGGAGAGGGGAGGGCTCCACTGCCAGAGGCTTAGCTCCCTCGACACCCCGACCCTTGCCTGTTTCTCCAGAGAAAGGCCGGCCTCCTTTCTGAGTGTTCCCCAAATGCAGCATTAGACCCGAGGGGCACCTCCTGGTGCAGGGCAGCTGAGATGGGGGCATCGGGAAATGCAAGGCTCATAATCTCTGCGCAAATCGGGTGGCTCCCGTCCTGAATTCTCACCAACCCAAGGGGCATGAGCTCTTTCCCACGAGGCGTGGGACATGTACTTGGAAGAAGCTCAAGAGTTGGCCTGTGCAGCCAAAATGAAAACCTCCTGGCCCAGGTGCTGCCCTGTGAAGGTCTCGGCGGCCTCGTAGCCACCAGGCCGAATGGCTGCTGAGCCCCGCTCTCCCCTGCAATGTCCACATTTGCTCAAGGATGCAGGAATTCCGGCGGAGTGGGGCATCTAGCTCCTCTGGAGATTCAGTTCCAACATATTTTACTTTCAACATTTCGTAACTATCCAGGGGGACAGAGAATGAATGAAATGGTTCCAGCCCGTGGCGCTCAGCTGTCAGCCCATGTCCACGAGACACCGAGGAAGGAGCCCCAGGGGTGGAAGAGCGCAGGCACAGGGAGCACCGTGGCCGGAGCATGGGGAGCGCCTCCTACCTCAGTGTGGCTCCCGTGGCTGGGGGGCCATGGAGCTGGGGGCTCTTCTCGGGGTATGAAGAACGCCATGGCCAGGTGTCCATCCTCAGTGGACTCTCTCCCTGGTGCCTCCCAGGTTAAGTTCTAGAGGCCCAGGGGACCACTTTCAACAAGTGGGGTGCATGCGTGCACGCACGTGCATTTTTATCTTTTCAACTGAGAAATGATATATCTAAAAAAGCATCAGCAAGCTCAGCTCAGCTGTATGACACTGTAAATTTGTAGGCATCCATGGCTCTCTGCTCCCTGCTTCCTGCTGGTCACGCCCCACACGTTTTGATGACTGAAACTGTCTCCAGCCATCGCCATGTCCCCAAGTCAGTGAGCTGTGGGGCTTTTTCCCAACCGGATTCACAAGGTGCCGTTTATTCAAATGCGGTGGGAACCGCACGCACGCACGCGTGGGTGTAGTTCAGACTCTTCCTTCCCGCTGGCCTTTCTGTCTGTCCTGGCACCAACGCTGCCCTGGCTTTACAGTAAGTCCTGACACCCGAGGGTGTCTTCGTGTCTGGTCCTTCCTCAACATCTTCTAAGAATTGCATTTCCATATAAACTTGAGCGTCCACTTCTTTCTAACACTGAAAAGCTCACCAGATGCTTCCTGGACGGCACTGAGCTCCTGTGGGGAGAGCCTCAGCGCTGACACCGCGGCCTCCAGGCCCTGAGTAGGGCGCAGTCCCCCCTCTGCAGAGGGGTTTAGTTTCTCAGTGCATTCTACGGTTTTCAGAATCAGGCTCGCTTGTCAAATTTACTCCTACCTGTCTGAAGGGATCTGATGCAATGGGAACGGGATCTTAAACTTCATTTTCCGCTTACTGCTAACATTAGAAATACAACTGGAGGGCCTCCCCGGTGGTGCAGTGGTTGAGCACTGGGTTGCGAAGCTGCCCGCGGCTGCTCCCCGGCCACCAGAGGAGGGTCCCACATGGCGCGCAGACCTCTCCTGCCGCCCGCTGCTCCCCTCAGCAGTGTACTTCGGTCCTTCTGCCTGTTCTGCTCCCCGCTCTGGCTCTGGTGAATTCTCTCACCCTCCTGTGTTTCTGACTGTACCCAGTGCTTGAAGAAAGAAAGAGAGAGAGAGAGAGAGAGAGAGAGAGAGAGAGAGAGAGAGAAGGAAAGAAGGAAGGAAGGAAAGACAGACAGACAACTGGATCCCGCCACACTCACCGGGCACCCAGCACCCTCGCTGGCACCCCTTTCTGCACTCTCACGGGCGGTTTCAGCCTCCGGCTTCTTTATACACACAGTCAGGGCATCCGTCAACAGTTTCCCATCTTTTCCAGTCTTTAGACTTTCAATTATTTAGTTGGGTTTGTTTTTTTTTTCCTGTGTGTTCTCACCTCACTGTACTGGCCAGAGCTCCAATACGCTTAGTAGGGAAGGGACGACCCTTATCTTATTCCAGAATGAGAGGGAAAGTGTCCACTCTGCCTTTACGTGTAACTATGACGCTAACTCCTTTGGAGAGATGCCCTTTGCCAGGTTCAAGCAGCTCCTTGCTACTTCTGCCCAGGCGTTACTGCGAACAGGTACTGGATTTCAGCAACTGCTTTTCCAGCCTAACAGGAGCACCTGGCCGTCTCCTCTTCCCACGCCTGCGCCAGCTGACGGCTCCGCGGGTGTTACACCGACCTGTCGTCTCGGCACTGATCCCACTAGGCCATGATTTATTCTTCTCCTCCTGCACTGCCGGGTTCTATTTGCTAATATTTTTTTTTTTTAAAGATTTTTTATTTATTTATTTATACATACATACATACAAGCACTGGGTACAGTCAGTGGCGCGGGAGCGTGAGAGAATTCACCAGAGCCAGAGCGGGGAGCAGAGCAGGCAGAAGGACCGAAGTACACTGCTGAGGGGAGCAGCGGGCGGCAGGAGAGGTCTGCGCGCCATGTGGGACCCTTGCCCGGCGGCCGGGGATCGAACCGGTGCTGCAGAGGCTGCGGGCAGCTCCGCAACCCAGCGCTCAACTGCTGCGCCCCCGGGGAGGCCCTATTTGCTAATATTTTCCGTTTCGGATATCTGGACCCACATTCACGAGAGTGCCTGGCCTCACACCTCACATTTTCCTTTCTTGGAATGACGCTGCTGGTCTCAGCATTCTATGGGGCTCATAAAATATTGAGGACGGACGTGTTCCCGCTTTCTCTATTATTTAAAAGAGTTTGGGTGATGGAATGCTTTCTTTCTTAAATGTCTGGAAAAATATGTCACAGAAGCCAACGGAATCTGCAGTTTTCTTTATGGGAAGGTTTTCGATTACAGATTCAATATCTCTAGCAGGCCCCTATAGGGTTCCAGATTTTCTATTTCTTCGTGTCAATTTATTAAGTTGTGTCTTTCCAAGGAAATTTCTGCTTCCTCTGCAAGCCACAGGCATCGTAATGCCCTCATCATCTCTCGCTCCCCCGCATCAGGACCAGCATCTCCGTGTCTGCTGCCCCAGTCCCCAAGCAGCTTAGGCGTCTCCTCCTCCAGGACTGAGTCGGGAGCCCCCCGGGCTTCTTCCTGGGCTCCCCAGTTCTGGCCGACCTAGGGTGTCCCTGGTGACAGACTCCGCACTGATCATGAGCTCTGGCAAGCAGGGCCCGGGGCAGACTTTCTTGACCTTCCTCTCACCCACATTCACCCATGCCTGGGACACCACCCCTGCCTCTTTTCCTGCCACGCCCCAACACGCCCTCTCTGATCCTCTGTCTGGAGCAGATACATCCTCTAGGTCCCCAGAGCTCCCTGGTATCCTTTGTGGCAACACTGTTTATTTTCTGGGTTGAGTTACTTTTAAAATATGGATACAGAATCTCCCTGTATATAAAATGGTCACTGAAATAGGCTTCAGCTGGCCCGAGTCCCCTGCCAGCCACAGGGCTGGTTTCGCTGGTTTCCAGTCCCCCGGCCTCTGGCAAGCTCTCCATGCCTGAGACAGGCTGTGGCTCCCTAAGGGCAGGTTCCCAGAACCGGCTGGTGTGGAGAAGGCCCCAGGGGATGTTCAACAGAAGCATAAAGGGCTCCTTGTTCCTTGAGGCGGCCCCCAGTTTACTGTATTGAAGGCCGCTGTCCACATCCAAAGTCTGTCATGACATTCCTGGCTGTTACTAATTTTACATCTCTGCTAAAATCGGATGTTTACTGTCTCTCAAGAGTCAAAAACGCGCTTTTCCTAAGATGGGGAGAGACAGGAACAGAATTCCCTAACAGAGGAAAAACCGGCTGGTCTCTACGGCCCAGCCCGAGGTGTCACGGCTGCTACCTCCCCTCCTGCCCCTGCCTCTGTGTGTGTGTGTGGGGGGGGGGGGGAGGCTTTGGGCCAGCTGTCTGTGGGCTCCAACCTGCTCTCCCCAGCCTGAGTCCCCTTCAATAAGGGCCACCAAGTCACTAAGAGGGACACAGGGAGCAGCTTTAAACACAAAGAAGGGAAAGTGAAATCACTTAGTCCTTATCTCCCGTTATCAGCAAGTCAGCTGGGGGGAGGGGGCACACAAATAAGATGAAAGTGGTTACCTGGCAGCCAGAACTGAGGTGGAAGAGGAGAGGAACGGGGTTTTTTTTTCCCCTTCATTTTATTGCAAATCATAGACATACCGGACTCTTCAACACTGTGCTCCTTTGCCAAAATTAGTCATTCATGATATTGTAAAAATATACAAACGTTTTTAAAATCTGTCCACAGCAGAACTGTTAGGCACTGCCTCTGGGTCTCCTGCCCCAGCCCGGTGGCTCCCCACGCCCCTCTCACACCTGAGGTCACGGTATTAGGTCAAGGAAGCCCCTACTCGTTCTTCCCTGGCTTCTATTGACTCCCCCACAAAGCTCAGATTCCTCAAAAAGGCCTAAAGGCCCCATCAGGTCAGTAAGTCTGTTACCACGAGTCCTCCAGTGTTCAAAATATCTTGCACTCCACCGATCTGCTTCCATGGCATAGGGCTCAGCTCAGCAGTCCCTCCTCCAGGAAGCCTTCCCTGACCATTAGTCTAAGTAGGTGCTCCAGCCACTCTCTACCCTCCCGAATCCACGCCCACGAAGGGACAGGTTCACCTCTACTACAGACGCTGGAACATGGCTG